GCCTTTTCGGACCAAAACCAATCGACTCAGCGTCCAAAAGACTACAACATATGGGCCAATCGCGGTCATCCGTGCTTTTATAAGAACGAAATGGCGCTTTTAGTGACATTTTGCATACAAATCCCCATCTAGTAGGGCGCAGTCACCCAGTTTCGGTGGAAGTGCGTGAGTTCGATTGGGATTCAAGTAGGAAGGGAGCGTCTCAGCTTCCTCGGACCACGACCATTCGACTCAGCACCCCGAAGACTACAATTGGTGAAATTTTGATTTTTGCCTTAACTTCCCCTTTAACTTGCAATAAAGTTGATACCAGCTATGCTAACCTTGCAAGGGTAATGGCTTTATAGAGCCAGTTTGGAGTGTTCCTCTTGTTCAGGGGATCCACCGGTGATGAATTGAACGAATCTGGGTCTTCATCTTCAGTAAGTGTGGTGCGAGACATCTTCTCGGCAAGATCTGATCCCCGGTAGGCTTCGGTTAGCTCCTTCATACGCTCCATCGATGAGTACATGGTCTGTGTGTCGCGTGTGTCCACACTGCATTTATCCACTGCATGTTGTCGGTGTGGAGGTGCAGCACGCATACAGTGCATGTACATGTTGAACACACCACAAGCGCAACCTTGCCTGCGTACTATGCAATAGACTGGCACGCGTTGACAGTAGAAAGAAGTGACTGGACCACTGCACAGGGGACAGAACTGATCACGACCGACTTGATGTTTCGACCATGATGGGTCTTCTTCAGAAAGTCTTTCCTTATACCGGTATGGGAAGATTGGTTTGGCTGTTACCCAGAGTGTATGGCCATTTCGTCTATGTGCTGTCTGATGAGTGGTTAAATGACATGAACTACATGACATTGTACATGGTGAAGTAAAATAATGATAACATAACACGTGGAAGTGATAGCCGAACAAAGCTTCTCGGCACTGTCAGCTTAGACAGTATACTAATTTAATAATATGATTTAAAATATCTATTCGCTATGACCTGCAACCACTGACCGTATTCGTCCAGAGGGCTAGTGTACGCCGGGCATGGGTGACCGATTGAGGTGAAATAGTCCACCAGAACATGCGCTGGTCCTGCGTAGGTTGTATATCCTCTGGATAGAATCATAACCTGTGTGGCAGCGTGTATCAGTGGCATGGTTAGGGTGTGAAAACAAACAAAGTCTTAAGTCAGTAGATCAACATTATTATTAATTTTTCATGACAGAGGAAAAACACTTTTAAGTGAATGGTACAGCTACATGAAGAACTTGTGGCTAGAAGGTAGATGCCTTGTGGCTAGAAGGTAGATGCCAAGATGGAGCATCTCAAGACAGTGATGTCATGCTCAGACTATCCGTTTCTCACACAGCCTACCTAGCACTGCTTTATTTATTTTTTTATAGCTAACTTTATGAATAGGATGAAGGTCGCAGACATCACGCAACTACCTTGCTTGTTCGACATGACTGTATGTGTGTAACATGTTGCACATGTTCCGTTTGGCGTAGTAATATTTCCACTCTTGATTGTAGCTAGGAATGTGACTCTACTTCATGACATGTATGCATACGTCATTTGTACACACTCACAGGCACACACGCATGCGTATCTTTTCGCTGGCTCGCTCTGTTATGATGCTGGTTTTTCCTTTTGCTTGGAGAGAATGTTTTGGACTTGAGAGTTGCAGTTTTGATCTCAACGTCTTGTCATGGTTGGAACTGGTGCCTGGCTGGGGGCTGGGGAGTTTACGCTCCTGTGAATGTAATTGTAACCTCAGGCCAAGGTTACACGTGGTGGCAGCGAATTCGAATTCCACGTCTTGTGAGAGCACGCGTACCAAATTATTTGTGGAAGATTGATCGTGTAGAGATGGCTCAGCAAGGTGGCGCTCCTCCGCCCCCTCCACCACCACCACCGGGCCCAGCGCAACAACCAGCACGTCAACAACAGCAGATGCGGGCATGGGCCACGCCAGAGAAATTCTCTGGCGAGCGCAACGCCGACTGGACATCATGGATTGGCCATTTTCGCCTCGTCGCGAATGCAAACAACTGGACACCGGCAGACCAAGGCAGGTACATTGGGTTGTACCTCACCGGCCACGCACTGTCTTACTTCCAAAGTTTGGAAGCCCATACGAGGACAGGCCCATTCGACCAGCTGCTGCAGGCGTTTGAACAGCGATTCGGCGACGCAAACTTCATCCCCACGTTCAGAGCAGAGCTGCAGTCACGCCGGCAAATTCGTGGCGAGTCCCTGTCGGATTTTGCGGAAGTCGTCCGCAGGCTCAGTAGACGGGCGTACCCCACGGTAGCTGGAGCAGTGCAGGATACCCTGGCGCGCGACACCTTTGTAGCCGGCCTTGACAGCAGGGACCTGCGCCTGCATGTTCGTGGCACGGACCCACCAACATTGGATGATGCACTCCGACGGGCTATGCATTTTCAGTGCATCCTGGAGGCAGACCAGCAGCAGCAGGCAGCTAGCCCAGTTATATGTGCGGTGCAATCTCAGCCCAGTGACCCTACACTCAACGCCCTGCTGTCGAGGATGGCAGCCCTGGAGGACAAGATCTCCAGGCTCACGCTGGAGAGGCCAACTAATCTGCATCGGAGTGGAGATGGTGACACCAAGCGGTGCTATGTGTGCGACAGCACAATGCATTTCGCACCTGACTGTCCGCACCAGAGATACACACCGGCTAACCGTGGTGGTCACCGGGGTCGTGGACGCGGTCGGGGAAACTGAGCGTCGCTGACAGCCAGGGTCCGCCGTCAGCAACCTCCCCAATGGACCCATGTACCGGTAAGCAGAGTGAACCGTGTTCGGTGTGTCATGAGGCTGTCTGCTTACCTACTGAGACAACTTGTCAGGCCTGCACAACTACTCCAGCCGAGTGTCCAGACAGCTCGATTGTCCTGCCTCTGTCGTGTCTTGCAACACAGTCCGACAGCACGGTGCAGATCCAAGGCACGGTCGAGGCTGTACCAGCCAACATGCTTGTGGACACCGGCAGTTGCGTAACGTTGTTGAGCACCAGCTTTGCTAAGTCTCTCTCTCATCACAATGTTCATTTATCTATCTCACCCGTTAATACTGTTCTTAAAGCGGTAAATAATTCTTCTGTCCCTGTGCTCGGGGAAGCTGTCGTATTGTTAGCAACTGGCAAGCTTGCTGTACGCCACAGAGTCATTGTTGCTGACATTATGCCCGATGTGCTAATCGGCATTGACTTCTTGCAATCTCATGGCTGCACAATTGATTTCGGTCGCAACATGCTCGATGCAGGCGGTGTCGATGTACCCCTAGAGCCCACCCATAATGCTAATCCTGTAGTCTGCCGTGTTCATCTTGCTAATTCGGTTACTGTACCAGCATATACACAAGTCATTGTTCAAGCGCAGCTGCGTACCGATGATAATCATTTACCTAGCTCTGCTGGTTTTGTTTCACCTTCAGAGAAGTTTATTTCCAAGTTTAGCACTGCTATGTCACGTGTGGTGGCTACTCCTGACTCTGCTGGCCGTGTTTGGATTCGCCTACAAAATTTTCTTCCTCATTCCACAACTGTCCCGAAGAATTATCAAATTGCTGAATTTGATTCTGATATTTACATTGACGATGATCTCAATGATTCGCCTACGCATGCTGCCTCTGTTGACGAGCATAGCTGTAACGCAGTACAGGAAGAGAGCTGCTCACCTTCCGAGCCAGACGATTTATTTGACTTACGTCACCTCGATCCGCAAGCGCAGTCTGCTATAGCTACTGTGCTCAACGACAATGCCGATATCATCTCGCAGGGACAATTCGACCTTGGGAAGACTGATGTAGTAACACACAACATCCAGACTACATCTGATCAACCTAAGAGACAGCCACCCCGCCGAATTCCTCTCAGTCAACGAGCCGAGGTAAAGCAGCACGTTGATCAACTGCTTGATCATGAGATTATATCTCCATCCAGAAGCCCTTGGGCTGCTCCGATAGTTGTCGTACGCAAGCCTGACTCATCTATCCGGCTATGCATCGACTACCGGCAGTTGAACAGTATCACCGAGAAGGATGCCTTTCCCCTTCCTCGTGTGGATGATGCTATCGACGCTATGGCTGGTGCACGCTACTTCTCTACCTTAGATCTCGCAGCTGGCTATTGGCAGGTGGAGATAGATGAAGCTGCCAAAGCTAAGTCGGCGTTTGTGACACCGTTCGGATTATTCGAGTGGAACCGTATGCCGTTCGGCCTGTGTAACGCACCGGCAACTTTTCAACGCCTCATGAACCGGGTCCTTGGTGACCTAGTACCCAATATCTGTCTGGTCTACTTGGACGACATTATCGTGTTCTCATCAACGATTGAGGAACACATGAGTCGTCTGCAAACAATATTCAGTCGTCTTCGTCAAGCTGGCCTCAAGATCAAGCCCAAGAAGTGCTCACTGCTTCAGTCCTCAGTCACGTACCTGGGATTCTTATTCTCAGAGCAGGGTGTGGCACCGGACGCAAGCAAGTTCACGGCTGTTCAAGACTGGTCATCCCCAACATCACTGAAAGAGGTGCGTAGCTTTGTTGGTTTCGCATCGTACTATCGCCGCTTTGTGCCACATTTCTCAGAAATTGTAGAGCCCCTGAACCGTTTGTCCCAGAAGAATGCCACTTTCAACTGGACACATGAGTGTGAACAGGCATTTGCTGAACTGAAGTCCCGACTAGTCAAGTCACCTGTTCTAACATATCCTGATCCTGCAAAGCGCTTCATCCTGGACACTGATGCGTCAGATCTCGCCATGGGAGCTGTTCTCTCGCAAGTCAATAGTCACGGTGAGGAAGTAGTGATTGCCTATGCCAGCAAAGCATTAACGAGATCCCAACGTAACATGGGCAGTACACGCAAGGAGCTGCTTGCTGTTGTCACATTTACTGCACATTTCCGCCATTACCTACTTGGAAATCAGTTCACATTGCGAACTGATCACAAAGCGCTCATCTGGCTACATTCGTTCCGGGAAGTGGACGGTCTTCTAGCCCGGTGGATTGAGCGTTTGGCCGTCTTCGACTACGTCGTCACACATCGGCCCGGGAAGCAGCATGTCAATGCAGACGCCTTGTCAAGACTCCGCTACCACAGCCCGGCTACCGCAACCTCACCGACGCCAACGCCCGAGCAGAGAGTAGGTGAGCAGAATATTGTTGTCAATCACCTGTCTAGCGCTAGTCCTGATAGTAATCCTGTAACAGTCAATGCTGAAGTGTCGCCACCCAATTGGTGTGAGTCTTTCACTGTTGAAGAGTTGCGCAGAGCTCAATTAGAAGATGCAGATGTGAGTACAATGATCGGCTGGCAGGAGGCATTACTTGACAGGCCCCTGCGTAGTGATTCTGCCATGCACGGTGCGTCTATTGCATTGATACGATTATGGAGCCAGTGGAAGCGTCTTAGACTGATTGATGGAGTGTTGTACCGGGTTTACCACCCCGAGAATAGCGACACACCGTACCTACAATTTGTTGTACCACAGTCTCTGCAATCCCGCATGCTTCAGTCTGTGCATGCTGATGTCTCTGGAAGCCACTTAGGTATTGAGCGAACACAAGACAAGCTTCGCAAGCGGTGTTATTGGCCCTTCATGTCGTCTGCAGTTAGTGATTTTTGCCAAGCATGTGATATTTGTGAGAGCCGCAAAGCACCGCTACCAAAGGCCAAAGCCCCGCTTGTCCAAGACCGCCCATCATTCCCGCTAGAGAAAGTTGCTATTGATATTATGGGCCCACTGCCTACTACGCCTAGCGGTAACAAGTATTTAGTCGTCATTTGTGACTATTTCACTAAGTGGCCAGAAGCGTTTCCTGTACCGAATATTACTGCTGAAACAGTAGCACATGTCCTTGTTGACGGCTTCTTCTGTCGTTATGGTATTCCATACCAGCTGCACTCTGACCGTGGTGCGCAATTTGAGTCGAGGTTATTCCAGCAGATCTGTCAGTTGTTGGATATCAGAAAGTCACGTACAACAGCATACCGGCCCCAGAGTGACGGCTTAGTCGAGAGGATGAATCGCACACTTGAGCAAATGCTGGCTGCTCACGTCGACGACCACCACACCAATTGGGACCGTCATCTGCAACGTTGTCTGCTGGCCTATCGGTCTAGTGTGCACTCCTCGACCAAGGAGACGCCAGCGATGCTCATGTTAGGTCATGAAATCCACCTGCCAGTTGATGTGATGTTTCAGTCACCAGACTCTGAGCGCTCCCATGTGAACACGTATGTTATCAACTTACGACGCAATCTACAACGAGCGTTCTCGCATGCCCGTGATGCTGGAGCAACAGCCCAGCGACGGCAGAAGGCCCACTATGACAAGCACGCTAAACAACCGAAACTCAACGTTGGTGACATGGTTCGGTTGCATTCTCCTGCCGTCAAACCAGGTACGACTTCCAAGTTCCATCGACCTTGGAAAGGCCCGTACACTGTGCTAGAACGTGTTGACGATGTAGTACTTCGGATAGCTGACAAATCCGGCACGACCCAGACTGTTCACGTTGACCGTCTGAAGGCTTGGACTGGCTCTGATCTGCCTGCAAGTGCCAATGAGCTCGTACCGAACTCGCCTCCGACTTCTATTGCCGACTATACGCCTGATGTTGAGTATAATGTGCAACCAGTACCAATCCCGGCTCCAGTGCAGGCGCCACCTGCACCAGTAATTGCTGCTGCGCCGGTGCCGCCACCAGCCGCAGCACTGAATCATGCACCTGTGCCTGTTGTGCACCACTATGATCTGCGGAACCGTGCAAACATTCAGCCGCCAGCAAGGTTTGCTCAGTGAGTGTCTATGACTGTACAGTGTGATTATTGAGAAATTGTACATTCTTAGTTCAGAAATACACATATTTCACACAGTCCTACCTGTTGTTAGGTTAGTATGAATAATGTCGAGCATTTCACTTGCTGTTTCACAGTCCACTTACATAGCATTAGTAGTTTCTAAACTTTCCATTATACCTCACACCGATTAACTACACTTGTACCATACTTGCGCCACACTATTTCACTTTCCAGTATTTAATTTTCTCATGTAGAAAGCTATCACGGATATGCTCTAAGCTTTGTAACTTTCGGTCACTATCGTTCCCTCTGTAACGAGGGGGGAGGTGTAACATGTTGCACATGTTCCGTTTGGCGTAGTAATATTTCCACTCTTGATTGTAGCTAGGAATGTGACTCTACTTCATGACATGTATGCATACGTCATTTGTACACACTCACAGGCACACACGCATGCGTATCTTTTCGCTGGCTCGCTCTGTTATGATGCTGGTTTTTCCTTTTGCTTGGAGAGAATGTTTTGGACTTGAGAGTTGCAGTTTTGATCTCAACGTCTTGTCATGGTTGGAACTGGTGCCTGGCTGGGGGCTGGGGAGTTTACGCTCCTGTGAATGTAATTGTAACCTCAGGCCAAGGTTACATGTGTATTTTGTAACAATAATATTGAAACCCCAATTTTTTACGTAAGGCTAGAATAAGTACTGTAGAACCGGAAAGTCTAACGAGTCACAAAGTCTAACGTTTTAACGGCCAATTATTTTAACGTTGTAAAAATAACGGAACTGGTTCGGATGTGCAGCGCTCTGGGAATGGGTGTGTCCACCCGAATTCCTTTCACAATTATTTTTCGTTATTTGAAAACCCGTTATCGCTAAATGTCTGTGTAAAGATGAGTATACAGATGGGTGGCCAGGTAGCCGTCGTTAATTAAGCTTTCTGCACGTCATCATGCCAAAATTACAAAAACGTTATACTTTTTGGTCGTTAGACCTTCCGGATTTACAGTACCACTCACACGGAAGGATGTTGTACTCCCTTACCTTGTCAAATACGTCCAGCATTTCAGAGCGAGGCTGGTGAATGGTAAGCATAATGGTGTGGCGTTTAGCTGCAGCAAGCTGTGACAGCATGACGATCAAGTGATGCGCTGTGTGACTGTCCAAGCCTGACGTGGGCTCATCCAGGAGGAGAAGGCCTGCACATCAACACACATGCACACATATACACATGCACATGTGCATGCACATCCACCCAACCACATGCCGGCGTGTGCCAGACTAATGAAGGCTCCGAGGCTACCTTCTCGGGTTCGCAGTGAATTAACATGTATATCCCATGACCCGATAAAACAATTGACTTAAGTCCATGGCAATCCAGCATCATTGGTAAAGCAAAGTTGTTGTACAGCTTATCACCCTGAAAACTTCGTCATGTGTTATGTTTAGTAATAATATTATGACTCCTTTCACTGTCATGACAGTAGTAAATACAATCATGGTCTTTTAGTCCTGACGGATTCTGAGTGTGATACACAACGTGCTGCACGAGCATCAGCCCTCAGGTATCGCATGCCATGACTGCTTAGTACCTCAGTGTCCGGGAGCGTGATTGCTGGTCAAATGCTTCTTACCTGGGTCAATAAGCAGCTGTATGGCTATGCTCACCCGTCGGCGCTCTCCTCCGGATATGCCCCGGATTTCAGTGCCGCCCACCATACTGTCCTCCACGGACTTGAGACCAAGCTCGGAAATGATATTGTCGATCTAGTTCAGTATGCGCAGAACACAATTGAGCGGTGGTAATCATTACTACCTGTAGTACTTGCAGTGCACGTTTCATGCCTTCCTTCTCCCTCTTCAAGACATGCACGAGTACATTCATGCCATGCAATATCAGCCAAAATAATTCTTTTGGTACGTGTGGTGTGTGTGTGTGTGGGGGGGGGGGGGTAACCAATTTGATCATCCGGTTTGTCTTGCCGGGTATAAATGTTGGCATTAATTACCCCCCCCCCCCCCCACACACACACACCGAGGCAAACACACCCATACCACATACTGCTGCTTCTAATCTGAACTGATCCACTGTTGTGTGTTAGATATTAATAATAATAATAAGAAGAAGAAGAAGAAAAGGGTTTGCTCCCCACACCGGAGCTCGCGCTATTCCGCCGACTTGTGTCAAGTAAAGTCGGCGGAATAGCGCGAGCTCCGGTGTGGGGAGCAAACCCTTTTCTTACTAATCATCGCCGAGGTCGCAACCACTACTTAATAATAATAATAATAGTTACAGTTCGCATGTCACTCATGGAAGGATCCATGGGCTTAACGCATCTGTCAACGAAATCCAGGCAGAAGAGCCGACAAAAGGCATCTCATTATTGTTAGAACGTATCGCAGTAAGAACAACTACGCAAGCGCAGCACATTTTTCCACAAGCATCAGCCATTCTTTCTTGTCTAGAGCCAGTTCAAAACAGTCAGAAATATCAATATTGGCGTGCTTTAGATCATTTTTAATATTGTCAATCCATCTGAGCTAGTATAAATAATTGCCCCTGATGAAACTCACCTTTGCCTCACGTTCCTGCTTAGAACAGGCCAGCCTTAGTCTCAGCACATAGCTCAGTGTCTCACGAACAGTAAGAAACGGTAGCAATGTGTCATCCTGCATAACGTAGGCACCACGGGCGCGGAACAGCGCTGGTGTCATTAGCTGGCAGTCCATGAAGACAGTTCCAGTGGTTGTACTGCCACTCACTGTCCGCTGAGCAATGCAATCCAGTAGCGAAGTCTTGCCACTCCCTGAAGCAGTGGCAGATACAGAGAAGTCGCAAGTTTGGCCCGCGGCGGCGGCTGCAGGACAAGTCCGGTTCAGGGGCTAGGGCATGACCAGGCCAATGGTTTGGCCAAGGGTGTGTGCCTCCTGTTTAATAGGTCATGTCGTGTACTGAAGTACCTGCTATTCGTGTATCACCTATGTATCACACACAGTGATTGTATGGAAGGCTACAGGTATCGACGTAAAAACTAAAACAAGAACTGCTTCCGCCCCTCCTGCAAATTGTTATTTGATACCGCCGATCGATCGATTAATCACACCCGCAACTTGTTTTGTAAAGGGAGAGGATTACATGTGTGTACAATTGAACCCGGGTCTAATCTTACAAACCCGCCCTCCTCCTCGTATAGAGTAAAGAGGGTGTACGTGTAGACCATGGACACTGTCCTCACAGTTCCTGGTATGGTTGTTGGGAATACTGTTACTAGTGCTAGCTCCTTACAGTGGGCCCTCCCTGCCTCAGTGATCATGTTGTTATAGTCAAACACAACTTGACAAGTCTACATGCATGCACTGTGCAGATACCCAGTTGTTCGGTGCAAGTCTACATGCATGCACTGTGCAGAGACCCAGTTGTTCGGTGCGAGTGTACTGCATGATTCAGGGACAATGGTAGACTACACGAGTGTCTTGTATGATTCAGGTTCAATGGTAGACATGACGGTAATTTGCTCCAGGCTAGGGTTTTGATTCATGGTGCCGGATCTACAGCCAGCCAACTGTGCTATGAGGCTGATGATCGTTTGTGCGTGAAACTCAAGAGCAGGGAGTCGTTCAAACCCCGTTTGTGGATCTACGACTCCCTGCTCTACTGTACTGGTGACCTCTTGGACCCGGGCCCGCTTGGTCTATGTGTGTTGTGTGCCAGACTTGTGTCCGTCGTGCATCATAGTGCCTGCTGATCGTGACATCGACGTGATGTCCCCCCCCCCCCCCCCGACCCCCTCTCTCTATCGTGCAGAGGTCACCAATTATAGGCCAATCTCGCTCCTAAGCGTTGTCAGCAAGGTTCAGGAGAGGATTGTTCACCAACGCCTCTACACCCACATTGAGCCCCACCTACCGGCCGACCAATCTGGATTTCGATCTAAGGATAGTACTGAACTACAGCTCTCCCGCCTACATGAGATTTCCGCCAGCCGAGATGCCGGTCAGGCAGTGTCAGCATGCTTCTTTGACTTATCAAAGGCTTTTGACCGAGTCTGGCATGCTGGCCTCCTGGCCAAACTCGAGCACCTTGGTGTCCATGGCATTGCCCTTACATGGCTCACAAGCTACCTGACTCGCCGCCGACAACGCGTCAAGGTTGGCTCCGCTTTGTCATCATGGAAATACATTCCAGCTGGAGTACCCCAGGGCTCTGTCCTGGTGCCTCTTCTTTTCCTGGTGTACACGATCGACCTCCCCCCAGCATGTACAAACTCCCACACCAAATGCAGCCAGTTCGCCGATGACACGGCACTCATCGCGACGCATTACACCAGGGATTTGTCAGCTGCATTCCTCCAACGTGCTGTGGACGCAGCAGGACGATGGTTGAAGGATTGGCATCTCCTCGTCAACACCACGAAAACCGTCGTCCTTTCCTTCCAACCCCAACACACCATCCACATCACGCTCCACTCGACTCGGCTGCAGAGGTCCACCAACATAGGCACCTTGGTGTTACACTCCAAGACGATATGCGATGGACCCAACACATCATAGAAACCACCAACAAAGCCAAAAAACTACTACACCAACTCCACAAGACACGTGGCACAATGAACGCTTCCAGCCTATTGTTAATATACAGGACCTACATCCGACCCGTTCTCGAATATGGCAGCCTTGCCCTCTCCAACACCACACAGCAACAGCGGGACACACTGGAGAGAATTCAACGCCGTGCTGTACGCATCTGCCTTCGGATTCCCCTCTTTGCACCAGTTCACCACAGTTCCTTCCTCCATCATGCAAAGCTCCCCACCCTTAGCTCACGACTCCTTGTTAAACAAGTCCTACTAGCATGGGACATCCACCACCAAACCTCCCCACCACACCTGCAACAGCCACATCTTGCACCACAACGTCAACACCAACCATACACCCTTCGACAGACAAGGACCTACTCCATCGGACACGCACACACAAACAGGCACCGAGATTCCCCCATCAACAGTGCCCTCACCCTCTACAACTCACTCCCCATCGACATCACAACCCAACCTCGTAGAAATTCTTTCCGAAACAATGCATCCAGTCTTCTTTTGAGCAGTACCTGTTCCTGCTCCGCGCATCCCCCTGGTTTCTGATATCTTGAACGTGTACTTAAAGGGGAAGTATACCCTAAAATCAAATTTTCACCAGTTGTAGTCTTCGGGGTGCCGAGTCGAATGGTCTTGGTCCGAGGAAGCTGAGACGCTCCCTTTCTCCTTTATTCCCAATCGAACTCGCGCACTTCCACCGAAACTGGGTGACTGCGCCCTACTAGATGGGGATTTGCATGCAAAATGTCACTAAAAGCGCCATTTCGTTCTTATAAAAGCACGGATGACCGCCATTGGCCCATATGTTGTAGTCCTTTGGACGCTGAGTCGACTGGTTTTGGTCCGAAAAGGCTGCGATGCAGCGTTCCTCCTTTATTCCCAATCGAACATGGTTGAACAAGCGGTCACGTGCTCCTGCGTACACCAGTCACCTGGTCACCGTGCCTGCAGGGTACAACTTACTAGCCTGTTTGACCTTTTTTGGGTGCAGTCCTGTCACTCGAGTTGAACTCGAGTTGAACCTTGGTGTGAAAGTTGTCGCCTGCTGGCGCGGTGACCAGGTGATTTGGGCACCCAGGAGCACGTGACCGCTTGTTCAACCACGTTCAATTGGGAATAAAGGAGGAACGCTGCATCGCAGCCTTTTCGGACCAAAACCAGTCGACTCAGCGTCCAAAAGACTACAACATATGGGCCAATCGCGGTCATCCGTGCTTTTATAAGAACGAAATGGCGCTTTTAGTGACATTTTGCATACAAATCCCCATCTAGTAGGGCGCAGTCACCCAGTTTCGGTGGAAGTGCGCGAGTTCGATTGGGATTCAAGTAGGAAGGGAGCGTCGCAGCTTCCTCGGACCAAGACCATTCGACTCAGCACCCAGAAGACTACAACTGGTGAAAATTTGATTTTAGGGTATACTTCCGCTTTAAAGGGGAAGTTAAGGCAAAAATTAAAATTTCACCAGTTGTAGTCTTCGGGGTGCTGAGTCGAATGGTCTTGGTCCGAGGAAGCTGAGACGCTCCCTTCCTACTTGAATCCCAATCGAACTCGCGCACTTCCACCGAAACTGGGTGACTGCGCCCTACGAGATGGGGATTTGTATGCAAAATGTCACTAAAAGCGCCATTTCGTTCTTATAAAAGCACGGATGACCGCGATTGGCCCATATGTTGTAGTCTTTGGGACGCTGAGTCGACTGGTTTTGGTCCGAAAAGGCTGCGATGCGGCGTTCCTCCTTTATTCCCAATCGAACATGGTTGAAGAAGCGGTCACGTGCTCCTGCGTACACCAGTCACCTGGTCACCGTGCCTGCAGGGTACAACTTACTAGCCTGTTTGACCTTTTTTGGGTGCAGTCCTGTCACTCGAGTTGAACCCGAGTTGAACCTTGGTGTGAAAGTTGTCACCTGCTGGCGTGGTGACTAGGTGATTTGGGCACCCAGGACCACGTGACCGCTTCTTCAACCATGTTCGATTGGGAATAAAGGAGGAACGCTGCATCGCAGCCTTTTCGGACCAAAACCAGTCGACTCAGCGTCCCAAAGACTACAACATATGGGCCAATCGCGGTCATCCGTGCTTTTATAAGAACGAAATGGCGCTTTTAGTGACATTTTGCATACAAATCCCCATCTCGTAGGGCGCAGTCACCCAGTTTCGGTGGAAGTGCGCGAGTTCGATTGGGATTCAAGTAGGAAGGGAGCGTCTCAGCTTCCTCGGACCAAGACCATTCGACTCAGCACCCCGAAGACTACAACTGGTGAAATTTTAATTTTTGCCTTAACTTCCCCTTTAACTATCTCGATCACCCCTGCTAACGTTATTGCCCCCGCTTGTTTTTCATGATCCATTGCTTCTTGCCTCCCGATTTCCATCTAGCTGTTTCTGGCTAGTACCAGTTCTATCGCACTTATCAATCATCCTTATTGGCGTCACGCCATCGTGGAATAAAAGAATAATAATAATCATGTCGCTCATGTAGCTTACCGGAGTTTCCTAGAACAGCCATCATCCCACCGCTTGGTAAGACCAAGGAAACCTCGTTGAGCACTGCGGCAGACGAGTCTGAGCCCTCATCAGCACCTTCAATTTCTGTATATTCGCCACTGCGTCTCTTGCCACATGGTAAACATCCTCTCCTAGTCACTTTTTTTGGCCGCTTGACGAAATAGCTCAACTTTGAGACACGAAGGGAGGTGCCGAAGCGCTGCGTTGAGTGACGAGAGGAAGAATGCGGATTACTGGTCGTCAGCTGGACACTGTGCGATGCTGAATTGAAGTTGACCTCGGCCATCTCGTATTTGTACGCTCTCCGGGCTGCTGGCAAGTCTACCACCTCGATCAACCTGATCGAAATAGAGTGTGAAGTGTAAAGTCTACGAGCTACAGAGCCTCAGCCAAAAAAGTTCAACGGTGAACCGTGACAAGAATGAGTGCATGAAATCTCGCTGAGACCGGTGCAATACCCGTAACCTAGCCTTTGCGGCGAAGGGAAGAGACTGATGATGAATCTCAAGTCTCTTTGCGCCTCTCTTTGTCTGGTTTGTTCAAGCAGATCACATTTTCACCTAGGAATGCATGCTGCCAGCCGACTCTGAGAACCAGACCTTGCGAACTGCAAACTGTAGATCTACGCGGGAGTGAATAATCATTTACCGGTAGTCTACACTGGACTATCGAAAGTTTAGTTATCGAACAGCCAGGCGTTGGGCGGTGCGAAGTTCAAGTCGTACTTTTGTTCTAAGCGTGCGGCGCGAGGGGCATACACAGGTTCGCCCTGTCAATGTTTCTGCTCAATCAAGTAAGTAATAGTTGACAATGTTAGTTGTTACTTGTTGGAGATGTCACATTGTCAGTGCAGCAGCTTCTGCAGATCTGGGGGACGTGGCGCACCATCATGGAAAGACTACAGTGCAAACTGACCCGAGCGTTTCTGATTCTGACTCAGGCTCCGTTCTGATCGTGTGGTCGAGACAGGTTGACACTGTGTCTGTCAGTGTCACTTTTCTAAATACCGGTAGTTTTCTTGTCAAGGTATTTCTTACAACAAGAAAGAACAGTCAGTAGTTACTAGTAATAGATGTACGGGGGTCTACATCGTCAATCACGGTGTGCGCATATTCCGGTACCTAGGGCCTACCTAGGGCTGGAGAATTTCCCACCCAAGGACTTAGTCTTAGGTGCAAGCAAGTGTTGCGAGCTGTACTGGATAGTGAGTAGGTTCGTTAGCACTCACCGCCACCGGTCACTTCTTGTCATGTCCTTCCGTACAGACTGATGTTCTGTCCAACGGACGGATCATTCAAGATTGCACTCCCATACAGTTGAGGACAAGTACAATGTAAATCTACACGGCGCCGCTTGTGAGTGAAAAGAAGTGTATAATGAATGCAATGCAGCATAGTGAACGATACAGTGTTGTGCTTGGTGCACTATTGCACTTGCGGCAGCACCAATGGCTATCACTGCAGTACACGCACTACCGTAGCCTACTATGCGCATAATGTAATCTTGGCGATCCTTAAAAACACAACCGGTGACCTCAGCGTGCACCGCTCTACTCAGCCAAGGCCACACACACTCTCTGCTGCTAACTATTACTTCTGACAAGCACAGCCCTGCAGAACATGCATCTCCCCGACCGGGTTATCATTGTACTCTGGGGGGGGGGGGGCAAATAATAATAATAATTCGCGGGATTCGCATTGGCATCGCTTCAATGTTCAGAAACACACAAACTAGCCTTCGCTTCCGCAGGCCACCACTATGCCTATGCCCAGCAAATGGGAAAGGAAAAGAGGTCATGATTTCTACTGGACTACTCCTCCGGGAGTGACAGATTCAGGAGTACCTTGGGTACCTTACTATACGCTACGACAGCACCAATCAGGGATTACAGTGGAACTTTGATAAGGCCTCTTTAGGAGCTGCATCTGCGCCTTGATGCACAGAGGGTGGTGGCGTTCCTACGGATGCAAAAGACTCGGCCCCCAGCCAAGTCAAACGCGAACCGTGATTTTTTTGCCCTATCAATACACCCGTGCTACAGACAATGGCCGCACTAAGCCAGAGTATGCATTATCAGAGTACGCACTTACTTGGTGAGTTCCACTGTACCTCATCATGTTGCAATACATTCAGGGAGTAGGATATTTTTTTTAAACAGTCATTTCAGGTGAAGTCGGGTAAAGTCTGGTCCGGTAAAAAATCAAATTAAACAAGTGATAATCTCAACATCATGAACAGTAGGGTCCATCCGTATGGGGAGGGTTAAATCATCATAGATAGGGTTAAATCGAATGCTTGCTCTAAAATATTATGTTGGATGCTTTGGAAAAATAGCTGCAGGCCACCAAATTTGGTTGAAAATAATTATAGATAAACAGCAGGCTGCGAAAGTGGACATAGTATTTTAAATCAGACCTCACATCTGCATGGTCTATGCCCGACACACTATCTACTTGTACACGAAACAAAAACCTACTGTTACAACAACAGCAGCAGCAGCAACAACAACAGCTTTCTCTTATTGGCCACAGGCCATCGTGAGAATAAAAGATTTCAACAGCAGCAGCAGCAGCAGCAGCAACGATAGTAGCACGGCAACACTACCTTCGAGTACCAGTTACTCGTAGAAACTACTTGTAGTCATGCCTATGGGCCTATATGTAGTTGATAAGCAGTATTGCAATCGAATACCGACAGGCGGCAGGGTAAGAAATCATTGCACTACTTACGACCGTGTTTCCAGTGCACAGCTTTCTGATGATTCAAGGAATTGGTTGACGCATTGGCAGAGTCAATTCATTCAGTCCGGATCGAAACGTTCCCAAACGCAGCACTCAGCGTCGCTTCACGTAGCTTCTAAGTGAGAACAGGATCATAGCTATGGCGTAGAGTCCAACACAGTAGCCAACCAGGCAGTAGTAGTTGCGTTGGAGATCGTTGACAGCATTGGGAAAGTTCGCAGCCAGGTATGCATCCCCAGACAAGTATCTACACGGCACGGGACTGGTGCTGTTGACATCGTCACACGTGAACGTCAGGCCAGGGTATTCGTGTGCAACGAGTATCTCGCTGGCATACTTCTGCACTCCCATGTACGTGAAGTCTTGCAGCACTTTGGGCATACTGTCAATATTGCTGCAAACACAACACAATACTAGTATCAGTAAAATGGAAGTGAATTGCACAAAAGGGAATGAAGATAATGCTTTCAGCACTGTGTATGAACAATCCAGTGTCAACACAGTACATGTGCTTCAGCACGCTTGTGTTGAGACCAAAGAGCCAAAACGCCCACACACGACATTCACACCCAACATCCCCAGTCTTGTCGGGATAGCGCCCTACTCATTACAGCCTACAGGGGACATCCGGGATCTCACACACAAAAGATCAAAGGAATAGTGTCCGATAGGATTTCAATGCTGCCACGCAACCCCTGGTATAGATTCACGTCTATCCACAGTGCTTCACATGGACCCTCATCGGAGTCCAGAGTCACCCCTCAATCACATTCCCAAGCTGAGTGCAAGAAGGTGTTTCAACAGCGCATGGCTGGCAAAGCAGCCAAACCTGACAGTGCAGGGTGCCCTCATCGGCTTACCGCAGGAATCCCGAGCAGAGCAGTGCAGTGAAGGAAAAGACCAGAGCGGACACACTGTTTGCCATGTTAGCATCATGGAACAAAGCCAGCATGATGAGAGCAATTGCCTCGCCAACAAATTGTGTTGCAATCACCACCAGACTGAATCCCACAAAGGCCATAGCACTGTTAGCAAAGCCAGTAGCCCTACAAATGGCACACAGAACAAGAACAAAAGACATCCAGAAAGCAGAACACGACCATGAAGAAACACACGAGCCAATCGGAAATGACTGAACTATGATGTACTCCAGGAATTTTGCTACGACGCACCCCATTGCAGAAAGGTCAGAAACTGTACATATACTCCTGGTTTCAAGTACTCTTGTTTCTACACGAGCGGTGACCCGCTGAACTCTCCAAATGAAGGCAAAACGTAAGTTATGTACCACTAAGGAAACATTATAAATTGTTCGATGACTGTACAGTCAGATGTGTCCAATGGCACATGGCAGTACAGTGAGGTGACTGGTGTGGCCCAATGGCACATGGCTAACAGCACTACGTACCAGTAGAACGCCGAGGAGAGCAGAACGGAGCTGAAGAGAGTGAACGGAAGTATGTGCACAAGATAGCCGAGCATGAACACGGGTGTGTAGTACAGGCCGTCACGAACCTCACGACTCATCGAGCTGCGTAATGTCGGAACTGGACGCAAAACAACAGACAGCCGTGGAAAGGGTGACAGTCACGAGACATTCTAATCAGTATCTAGCACAAACGTTTGAGCAGACTCTTGACTTGTTGAGACAAATAATACGTTTGCACAAAGTAACACCGGCCCTCGTTTCAGTACACCACCAGCTCATCAACGGTAAAGTATTTTCCACAAGCGTTTCGGCCCATTCTCATCCAAGTGAAAGAGCATTAGGGAAATGAAGCTAAGAAAGCCAAGCAGCACAATGTAGGCAGCAGAGAAAGGCAAGTGCTGACAGTTAATACTAACGGGAAACTGTCAGTGATGTTTCCACCGATCTAGAGCTTTGCCTGTTGTTTTCAAACTGGTGCATCTTTTCTCTTCCTCACACATCCTTACCTACAGCAAGTGATAGGTTATAGTTAGTGGTGAACGCCATCATGCACCTTTCTATGCTTTTTCTAGCAGTACCTTGCCCATACAGAGAAGATTGAACTAAGTATGAGACTCAGAGTTGCAATGCACTAGTCCCGTACCAGTGTTGTATCGTGGATCTTGCTATGCTATACAAACTGGACTGTTCTGATTTCACTAGCTTCATTTCTGTATTCAAATACCCACACACACCTAGCTTGCTTGCAAGATACAGCAGTGACAACACGCAAGCACACACGTATACACACACACACACGCACACACACACACATGCATGGACACACACACACACACACACACACACACACACACACACACACACACATACACACGCACACTACAATGCTTACACAATGCCACTGCTGTCAGCATGCCAATGAACAGGGGTGCAGAAATGACCTGGTAGAAGACACCGCTGCGGTCTTGGATGCTACGCTGGTCGTTCTTCAGTCGCAGAATGAAAATGAACAGCAGCACACCGAACAGGAGCATCTGGAACGCTCGCATCTGCATTCCAGTCCTCGCCCTGAGCAAGTTCATATTCATTCGGCTGGAAGAAGAAAATACAGATGCCCGGCAGTGTTGTCAAACGGATAAGTAGAAATCAAACGGCATAAATTAACCCCCTGGGCAGCCAGCCGTTGTAGCCTTGCTAAGTCTCTTCAGCGGATCTCAAAGTGACCTTTGGTGGAATCGATCGCGGCAAAGCTTAGTGAACAGCAAAGTATTTTTAAAATCAGCTCAAGTGTCCAATTAAACAGAACAGCATGAAGCACATGTACACGGTTGGTGGACGTAGAGCTGGTTCAGTGGTTGGTGTTTTCAATCATTTACCAAATCACAGCTTACAATTCTTAACTACATGCAGATCCTCCTGTGGAAGAAAAACTGACAGCAAATGCCTAAAAACAGATCAAGTACATGCACACACGCGCACACACACACAAACACACGTACACACACACACACACACACACACGTACACACACACACACACGTACACACACGTACACACACACGTACACACACACACACGTACACACACACGTACACACACACACGTACACACACACACGTACACACACACACACACGTACACACACACACACACATGTACACACACACACACACACACACGTACACACACGTACACACACACACACAGATCTCCCGCTCACCTTGCCATGGTGAAGACTTTGCTTATCCACGTAGGTGATCTGTCTCTCACCACCTCAACAGAACCCGTCGAGAGGGAGTCGGGTTCGGGTAGAGCATTCGTGATTCTCTGTGCAAGGTCCGACTGCTTGAAGGCTTGAGCCAGCTCCTGAACGGTAGCCATCGACGTCTGCATAGTCCCCGTTCTTCGCGTGTCAATACTGCAAACGTCAACTGCAGTCAGTCAAACACCGTTCACATACGCATGCGTACACACAAACGCACCCATGAATGTTAAATGCACGAGTCAACATCAAATCCTCATCAGCACCCGCACCCAACAGTGGTTCAATTTTCCACTGCATGCATACAGCATGTGCGCCGCCAAGTGAATATCTCACCGTATTCATCCAGAGGGTTAGTGTAGGCAGGGCATGGATAGCCTAGAGCCGTGAAATAGTCTACAAGCTGGTTTGCTGGACCGCAGTACGTCGTATCACCCCGGGACAAGATCATGATCTGCACACAACACGCAAATCAACCAAACAAACACCAAAAACAATGTCAGGATAAAATTTGAAACTCGGGTATTGAGCCAATAATAAAAGTACAGTGCGTATCGGTTATAGTGTGGTCGTATACAAGAATATACTGCCTACAAGAATGAACACTCATTTTTTCCATAATCATAACACCTATTTTATGTGTATATTTATTCTTACAAGCAGTATTATCGCATAGTAGAATATATCGGCCCTAAGAATGGATTTTGTGTAGCAAAATATGCCAGATTAGTGCAAAATGTATCGCCTGTAGTAATAACATCCGTGCTCTGTGCATGCTCAATACAATAATATTCAACACAAAAAGAGAGTTATGTCCAACTGAGCATTGGAGAATCACTTTTTCTGTCCAGTCGGACTCTTTCTTCCGACTTCTGTCCTATCTGCTGCTCCGCAGTCGCCTAGCACGACCGCGAGTCTGATCCGTGTGTATCATGATTGTGTAGATCTACATGATTGTACGTGTCCACATGCCAAACATGTATTATGTCACACGTGCATATGATATGTCACACGTGATTTATCGTGTGTAAGAAATATCGGCAATAAGAATCAAGTGTCGTTTTTCAAACACCCACGCTATAACCGATACCTACTGCAGAAAGGAAAAATACATATGGAAACGAGTTAAGAGTAACTCTCCACCACTGTAACTAGATACAATATACAGTCAGAAAGTGCAACAACTAGGCACAAAACTGACAGAGTACTGAGACAATACCCGAGTTTCAAATTGCACACCTGATGAGCCGTCACGAACCATACGGCGAAACGTACGTCGTGTGAAACAACTTGTTTTGTAGTGAATGTCGCAGTACTCTGTCAGTTTTGTGCCTAGTTGTTGCACTTTCTGACTGTATATAGTATCTAGTTACAGTGGTGGAGAGTTACTCTTAACTCATTTCCATGTCTTTTTCCAGGATAAAATTACTAACATAATATCACAAAAAATGTTTTCCATGAGCTGTAATAGAGTATAATGAATTTCCTCATCCGTAGGAACGCCACCACCCTCAAAGATCAAGGTGTGAATGCAGTTCCTAAAATGGTACTTCAGAGAAGTAGCAAGGGAGGAGAAAGGTAAAATATTTTTGAAAAAATCTCTCCCGAAGATGGCCAGCCACCCATACGTTACCTGGTCAAAGACATGGAACATGTCAGAGCGAGGTTGGTGAATGGTGAGCACAACGGTGTGTCGCTTCGACGCAGCAAGCTGTGACAGCATGACGACTAAGTGATGCGCTGTGTGACTGTCCAAGCCAGACGTGGGCTCATCCAGGAGGAGAAGGCCTAGGTAAAAAAAACACAACAGAACACAGTAGCAGGCAGCATCATGAAGCAACGGGAAGAATACACTGCATGATGTACCTGTGTGTCAACAGTCTCATCAGATGAAGCATAACACGGGATATATTCTACCCAGGTAGAGTGCATCTTATAGAAGCTGCGACGGACTTGGCCATTTGAAAGTTTTGTGGAGTGTTTCAAACAAAAATGTAGAGTGCATCTTAGAGAAAATTTTTATGACACTATCAGACATTGAATGTAAATGCTGGTGAAAGCATCTTGCACAATGCGAGCAGTGGACACATCATCAGTACTCAGTACTACCTGCTTGGTAAGTGCTTGCTTACCTGGCTCTACAAGGAGCTGGACAGCAATGCTGACGCGCCGTCGCTCTCCACCGGATATTCCGCGCACGTCAGTACCACCCACCACACTGCTCTGCACTGCTCTCAGACCCAGGTCCTGGATGACCTGATCAATCTGTGAGAAAGACCAGGGGCCGCAGACACCAGCAAGCACAACCCAACATCAGGAAGGGTACAGGGTACAGCGTACAGAGTACAGGGTACAGGGTACAGAGTACGGGTACTGTTGTGGACATTGGGTGCAGCATGTTGATTCACGAAACTCGGCCGTGGTCATCCTCAACATTCGCACCCTGGTCCTCACATGCACCACCTTGAATGCATTCTTTGCCTTTTTTTGGACGAGGTCAATTTTGTTTTCAGTTGCTTCGTTGTCAGTTGGTCATGACCAATGTCTACAGTGCATTCGCTCGATGGCAGCTTGGTCCTGCTTTTCTGCGACGATAGAATGCCATACAGTCAACTTCGCTAATAACGACTGCGGATATAACGACAATTCGCGAATAACGACATAATGTTCATGCCCAGAGCAAAGTCCCATCCAACTGTGACACATATAATGAGACTTCGGGTATAACGACACTTCGCGAATAAGGACACTTTTCTGATGCCCCGCCGCCGAGTGTCGTTATAAGCCAAGTTGACTGTACCTCAAGAAATTTCAGTTCCTTGGAAAATACAGTCTTCATATCGGCAACAAACAAAATAAATCACTACCGGCATTTTCACTGGCACTTGCTCTGACCATGGCGACAGGAAAGAGAAAGCATTTGGATGCCAGTCCCTCAAGAGACCAAACCTATGAATATTTATATTTGTCGACTTCAAGAATACGAGCCACGGGGCTTTGGGGTTAGGGTTAGGGGTTAGGGTTAGGGTCAGGCCAAGGGATGTGCCAGGTACACGTGTACCCGGTTGGTTTGAAATCCTAGAGCAGATACTGAGTGTACGTGGAAAATTCTGACATACATGTTTAAACCTATGGTGTATGCACACAAGTATAATAATTATAAACACAGCTCGCATCTTCCCTGAACCTGTTAGACAGGAGCAGAGTCGACGTATCTGTCAACAGTGTCAAGCCAAGTTAGTCTATCTCCTGCAGCTTGGAGAGCGCACAAGTATAATAGAAAGTTATTAGAAACCACAATAACATGCTAACTGAACACACCTTTGCTTCATGGTCCTGTTCTGAGCAGGCTAGTCTTAGTCTCAGCACATAGCTCAGTGTCTCACGAACAGTAAGAAACGGTAGCAATGTGTCATCCTGCATGACGTAGGCACCACGGGCGCGGAACAGCGCTGTCGTCAGAGGTCGATGGTCGACGTATATTGTGCCCGTTTGTCGACTGCCCCACACAGTGCGCTGTGCAATGCAGTCCAGGAGCGAAGTCTTGCCACTTCCTAAACACACACACACACACACACACACACACACACACACCGGTAATCAGGTAAGAACACTTAGAGATATTTTAAAAGGTGCAGTTCACATACAACAGGCGGGCGTGTTTTCTGGGTGAAACTGTCCGAACCCGACACCTGAAAACGCCATCCGACACAGCACTATTACTGTAACATGTGTGATGTGGGATGCATGCATACTTATTATTACCAGTTCATGTACGGAATTGTACTTCGCACTCCGGGCATGGCGTGCAACACCTTTACTTGTCTTTTTCCTTACGCAAATCTCTCACTAGGCTCTGGAGGCCAAGATGTACATGTATGTGATGTGTGGAGAATGAGCCCACGGTGAAGTTTAAGTTTTGTGTTTGTTTTGGTCAAACGCGCTGTCACTGTAGTGTGTAGTACTCTGATGCGACTTTCTGCATGTTGTACGGTCGTGTTGAATGCGCATGCATACCCCAGTGGGACCCTAGGGCCGGAAAACTGAAAGATTCATATGATGACCCAAACAAGCTAAAAGAAAACAAAACTACATGTGCATAATACTCCACGGCGCTTCACTCAGCACGGCACATGGTGCAGCACACAGCAGCAGCACGGTTTCCGTCCTCTACTTTCCCGGAATCATCGACAAGGAGGTAAACAATGAAGATAAGTTGATCAGTGGAAATGGTCCTGGCCCGAAAAATTGAATATAAAACTGTTATTTTTTTACGTAGCCGCGAGCCTGTACGGCTGTAGTGCATGTTGTTGGTGTGGTGTGGTGTACTGTGGTGTGCTGTGGTGTGGTGTGGTGTACTGTGGTGTACTGTGGTGTGGTGTACTGTGGTGTACTGTGGTGTGGTGTACTGTGGTGTACTGATTCATTAGCCCAATGCAACCCAATTGCCGACTCGACTCCGAAGTGCAGCAGGTTGGAGAACATGGAATCTATCCATGATCATTAATTTAACTTTGATGTCAAAGTCACAGTCACGGTATAACTCAGGTAAAAGTTATACTTATAGTTCTTCTCCATGGAAACAATTATTTCTAAAAATTAATAAATTCTCACCAGAATTCCCAAGGATGGCAAGCATTCCTCCAGGTTGCAGATGTAGCGAGACATTCCGCAGTATCGGTTTGTCGGCATCATCAATACCCTCCACCAAGCTGTAACCATTCTTCTTAGTGCTGCTGCAGCAGCCCAAACATCCACTCTTACTAGTTTTATGCCTTTTGACGAAATAGTTCAGTGATGAGACGTGTAAAGAAGCTCCTGGGCCAGCCGTATAATCTGCCAGTGCTTCACGATTTTCGCACGAAGATCCGGATGACGAGGACTGAATTTGCGCCTCAACATCAAATTTTGGAGACTCCATTACTTGTATTTTGTAAGTGAATAATTATATCAGTTATATCAGAAGGAAACTATGCCAGTTATGGAGACTGCTTGGCGTCTGACACTGGCTGTGGATTTCGTGAAGTGAGTCAGTATGGAGGAGATACAACAGATAATATCAGTAGCAGTTACTGGTCTTTCTAGGTCACAGAGCTCTGTTGCTCTTGGCTTTCGGGGCGTTTTGGTCACATTTCGATCGATGGCAGGAAAGGCTAGGCCAGCAAGACATACGACGTCGTGAATTGAAGTGGGAACTCGAGTGCAGCTCTTACAGACGCGGTCAGTTCCCTACCAATCGAGCAGGAAGCAGCACACCTGTTACTAGTAGAGCTGTAAAGAATCTCTGTGCATACACTGGCTAATCTGAGACTGATTGAGTCTGTTCCTCGCTGACTGTCGTCATAGCTTGTGAAGAAGACCTAATTGAATGGGTTTTAGGATGGCATTACTGCATATCATCACTTGCCACACTGGCTGACTTGTGTCAAAGAGCAGCGACAATGCAGACTTGGGCTGTACATGGAGTGCCATGATTTGGCTTAAATTGTTTTCCCGTGCATGCGACAGGCACATGTATTTACATCACGTGGCCACTGCACTATACAAGTACGACAACATTCAGCGAACAGCATGACATGGCATTGCGTGCTGAAGCACGTCACTCGTCAGCATTGCACGTCACCTGTCATCCTCGCACACACTCCAACACAACTCTAGATCTCCGACTTCCTTGGAGCCGCATGATGGTCTGTGGACGGTTTTGGGGATTGGAGACAAATTCTCCCAAGGGCGAATTCAGTGGCCGACACTGGGAGGCTGTAGCGGTCAGTTCATTCATCACTTGGCATCCAGCGCGCGGAGCCAGCCGTGCGGACTGCCACGTGAACACGTGCAATTTACTCAACCTGTGATGCATTGTCCTCATGGCCTCAGTGGTCGTGGCATCTGCAATGCACTAGCTGACTTAGCATGCATGCATACAACTTAAACATGCACAGGTTCCTCTAAGCTTCATGTATCGGTATTACTGATTGGTGTAAGCAGCCATGCCTCACACACATGCCCATGCAGACTGTGACATGACTTTTTAAAGTTTTTTAAACCTTGGCTTGGGAGGATTGACGGCGTTCATCTCTCTTGTGCACCACGTTGTGCACCAGTGAGAATGTACCACCTAGTGTACACTAGCCCTCCGTGGAGTACACACCGAAGACAAGCCGGTCAGCACAAGGATACCGTATCGTAGTGAAGCACCTGAACACACTACTGCAGTCATGTACACATGTTCACAACATAATTTGCAAAAGAAGGACGGACACGGGCAGGATTCATACCAGTGGGAGGTATTTACGACTCCCTGGTTCGAACCCAGCACCCCTGTCTTCCTGGGACAGCGCCGTACCTATTTGCGGAGCATGATGGGTGGTAGGTTCGAGCAAAGGAACATTTCGCCATGTATTCTTGGTGCAAGCCATTTACCAGGTGCCAATGTTGCAAACTTGAGAAGGATTCACCAGCCAGCACTCCGTCTTTCCGGGGCAGTGCCCTACCAAACATGCACACACACACACACACACACACACACACACACACATACCTCAGACCTCAGACCTCAGATGTGCCCATCGCGGAAGCGATGATAGCGAACAGCTATCTTAGACATAGCAACTTGTGCTGTTGAATGGTGTAATCACACACACACACACACACACACACACACACACACACACACACACACACACACACACACACACACACACACACACACACACACACACACACAGGGATGGTCTCTTCCTACTACAAGCGTGCAGGCGGTTTCCTTGGTTTACTTTACGGGCAAGCGGTCACAAAGGGAATTCTCTGATTCCCTGACCATTCTAGTACATGTAGCCTCGTTACTCTTCTTGCAACTGTTTTGCTTGCATGAAAAGAATACATTTGTTCCAAGATGCATAACATGCCATTAGCCATTGTGCATTCTCACATGGTAGCTAGCAGTGGAGACTTTCTGAATACAGACACTTACGATGTTAGATGTAAGTATCACAACACAAGGCAGCGGAAAGACGGAGGACATACGATGTATAGCGAATCATGGCGCTCCTGGCTGCAAGCATATTCGGTCAGTATGACCATATGAATCAAGGAGTCCAACACACATGTATGGCTCCTGCAGTTATTTGGTTCTCTGACTCCAACCCCGGTGAGAAAAAGGGCCGGAATGTACCGATGCACACCAGAAAGGTTTGCACCTTCCTCGGGGGGGGGGGGGGGGGGGGGGGGTGCTCCCTTCTCGAAACAGGCCTGAAAACAGCCCTACTTGTAACAGCTATTTTTAGGCATACCTGCCGAAGTTCTACCACCTGAACATGGTTGAGCATGCAGCACTATACTTGGCAGTATGTCCTCCACCTTACCGTGTCCCCTGCTATCTTTCTCATGCACATCTCGCAAGCAAGGCACTTAGGAACATGTAGCATAAATATAGTATAGTACATGTATCACATCGCAATGACGCAAACCAGGGCAATATCACGTCTAGTTTGCAACTCTGGGCTTCACACCTCTGAAGTTTTAACAGAACTCACTGATGCGCCAAGTTTATGATAAAATCATTCTTTTCTTGAAATTGTTTGATGCGGCACACGCATGCGTGCATGCCAAGTTATAAATAATACAATTGATACTGCCATAAAACCATGATGAAAATAACGAAATGAAAAAATACCCTCTCCCCTTCCAAGACGCCTATTTACATACAGTAGAGTCACGCGCTGAAGAACGTGGAGCCCAAGAACGTCCAGCCCGATTCTAAGAACGCCACAGGCTAAAGTTAAGAACGGCGGAATTGGTTTTCTGGCAGCTTGTGGGATACATAATTATGATCCAGTACGGATCGTTTCTAAGAACGTGCATAAGAACGCAGCCAGATTGCTGAATAATAAGAACGTCCCAGGCTAACCCCTTGGAAACAAGGTTCTTAGGCGCGCGACTCTACTTTTCCAAATAATTGCTCCTCATATGCATGATCAGTGCACTTCTTATTCCCATTGGACTGGACATGCAATTGATGCACCCCAGTGCATCAATTTATAGTACATGATGGAAATTTGTAGTGTTGCCTCCAGACTACAAGTTGTAGACAGCACTGCGTGACTGGGGAGAAACAGAAATGTGTTACTAATCTACAGAAAACGGCAAGCAAGAAATATTTATATATAATTACAAGTAGGTTGTATGGTAGTCAGTAGCTCACCCTGCTCATGACGATGTTACGCAGCTGTAGAGTGGCGGCTGTACTGTTTATGCAACCAACACGATCATGTGCCAATGCCTGAGCCAGCAATACCATACTAAGCAATACCATACCATACAGCAATACCATACGCACCTAAGCAATCATGACTGCAGTGGCTTAAATACCCATAGCGGTTCCCTCTTGCCTTGGCTTGAGTGTATATGGCCAACGTCATCACATCACCAGCGGATTCTCTGCACCCATGCTCACTGGCCACTGTACTACATTGCATACATGTCCTCTATCTCCTCGTAGCGTCGCATTAGCTGCCCGTAGAGGGCCGCGGCATCGCCATCGGGCGAGCAGACCTTGCTCAGCGTCCCCGGAATCTCCGAGATTAACGAATGATAGGACACGTCCGTGTCGGTGTCACCTGCGGCCAGCGCCTTAGCTCGCTCGTAGCCATGTAGTGCCCGATACGCAGCGCCCACGGCAGCTGATTCAGACTCGGAAAAGATGTAGACGTCGGTGTTGAAGACATTTGCCATGACCTGATTATATACAGCAACCAGCACAGCAGCAGACAGACACAGGCCGAGCCATTGAATGCAACAGTAACTTATTGTGTTAACAATGATAGCCATTGCAACATAATTAGTGCTATGCTATCTCGAGTGTTCTTGGAAGCGGCACCAAAGTTTGCATTGGCCACACTATCCCTAAAAGAGCAAATACGTTCTCAGTAGGCACAACAACGTGTGCTACCTTATTGCTGCACTCAAGAAGGGGTTATCTCGATTTCAAAGAGCGGCCGGAACTCTGGGAATGGTGTCGGATACATTGAAACTTCACTAACAGTATCCCGGCCTCTGAAGCCATAACAATATAAATGTACTGAAGTAGAGTTTTCTTTTATTTGTGAAATCCGAGCAATGGCACATGTCCTGTTCCCCAAGTCCGAGCAGCAGTGTCTGCGGGTCTCAAATGTGCTCAGGGCACGCATCCACGCTGCACAGTTCTTGGACGAGCGATCGAAGCTCACTGCCGAGCAATAATGTATAAATGACCGTAATATGTTGTTTTTGAGGAACTTTCCGCAACTAATCCAAAGTATAATTATTTACTCTGCATCCAAGGCCGAATGGCGGGGAGAGCGTCTGCATTCCTCGGAATAGTGCAGTGCCCAGCAGTGAGCTTCTATCGCTCGTTCAAGCACTGTGGATGCGTGCCCTGAACAAATTAACTAGTGACTCACAAGATACTGCTTGACTTGGGGAACAGGACGTGTGTCCGCGGTCGGATTTCACTTGGGAAAACTCTACAGTCATTGTATGCTATGCTAGGGGAAAGCATTATGACATGCTTGAAGATGTGCTTCACAAAGTCTACACAAAGGTTCTTATTATGCTGGGTACCTCAAGAGTGCAAACCCCCTATCAAATTTTTGAAACTGCACTTGAGCGAATGCAACTGGAATGGTCGCTTGGTCTCACGAGAAGATTCCCAAACCTACAGGGTTCAATGATTGGTATTACTGAAGTAGAGAGTGTGGACATAAGTGATGTCACCAGTGATGTCACCAGTGATGTCACCAGTTTACTGAAGTCAATCAACTCATATCAACACATTTGCAACCCAGCCAAATGGCACAGCTGCAAGCTGCCAAGAACCAATGGAGGAAATTTTCAGAAAGAAAGAATTAAAAAAGATCCAAGGGACACACACCTTTTAGGCTTTTGCCCTACCTGATTAGTCATGCACCTCTGTATGCATGCGATTCGTGCATGCACGTCTGTGCTGTACGCATGGCAAGACTAAAACCACTCTACTGTATCCATCGCTCACCTTGAGAATTTCCGGATTCTTAGAGCCACCACCAGTTGCCAATACACGGGTACCGGGACCACACTTATAGCCGAGTTGTTCCGAGTGTATACGCTTAGCCATGATCTGTCCCTCAATCAATGCTCTCACTTCAGTGGCCTGGTCTGCAAAGCTGTCGACTTTTTCGCCGGCTGCATTCAATCTCACGGTGCATTTGGCATGCGGTACGATCTCCTCCTCGAAGAAGTACACGCCGACATTGCCGTTGTTTGCTGGCGGGGTGCTCTGCAAACAGTGCGTAAATGCTTGCCAGCGCTGTTCCTCCTCCTCTTCGGATAATCGTTGTAGGTTCTGTGTGCTGTCTCTGACCTTCTTACGTGTCATGTCGCCATTGCTATAGCAGAGTAGACCCATGTATGCACCTGTATCCACCGGGTTGACAAATACGTGTCCAAACAGTCCCGGCTTGGCTTCGGGCAGCCACACAAACACAGTATCACTGGAGCCCAGGCTGATGCCCACGTCGCCCTCGCGTATGTACAGTGCCGCCAGCGATGAGGGGTTATCGCCAGTCGCCGCCACGATACTGCACGTCGGCCTGAAGCCGTAACGGCTGAAGTATGGCGATATCGGCTTTGGCAGTACGGTGTGTGATGGCACTGGTGTGCCTAGCTTCTCAGCCAAATCTTTACCGCAGTACTCAAGTGCCGCTTCCATCCAAACTCGCTTGTCGGGTTCATTCGGGCCGCCGCACGGTCGAATATCCAGCAGGTTCATACCCGAACCGTCACTGTAATCAATTGGTGCATACGCTCCAGTCAGCAAGCAGCACACAAAGCTACTCACCAGGGAAATGCGCTCGCATTGCTCATAGTTTTCCGGCTGCGTTTGGCTGATCTTGGCGATCTGGTTGCCAGTGAAGCGATGGTATGCTCGTGACCCGGTGACCTCAGCCAGTCGTCTGGGACCCTGTGTGTATACCTCCAGCTCTTTACACTGTTTTCCCGTGCTAGTATCCTTCCAGATGGGCGAGTCCTGCACAGCGAACGCACCCTGCAGCTGCTCATGCAGCATTCCCTTCTTCGAGTCCAGCGCGTTCAGTACTTTCTCAGCACCAGTCTTCCAATAGACACTGCCATGCTGCTGGCCCGACACGGAGATGGCCACGACTCTGCCCAGGTCAACACCACCGCTGACCAGGCGGCTGAAAAGAATGTCCAGCGACTCGACCCACATCAGCGTCGGAGAGGTCACCTGCCCGCTCTGTTCGTCTTCCTCATACCCACTCGGAGAGCACTGGGGATATTTCGCCACAAGGCTCGGCTCTTCCCCGAACGTGACGGAACTGGCGGCCACGTGAGTTCTGTTTCCGTCAAGAATAATGGCTTTCGCGCGCTGCGTGCTGAAATCCAGGCCAAGGAACAAGTCCGATTTACTTTCTAAGTCAGCCATGGTGTTGGAGTGATGGCAAGATCTATCTTTGATCTGCGTGGAACGAATTACGAGAACGAAGGTAACGGCGACGGCGGTGAAAAACCTAGAGAGTAGGTGGAGAGATTGATCTACTGGCGTCCGGGTTTATCCGTCCTTGGTCATCAACGAGACTCGAGGCTGCTATGGCTTCGGCTTTTTCCTACTCCGGAATGCCCGCTCGCCCTCGTTTTGATCCTTTCCAGTCTTTGTGAGTGTGACTGGGAGTGAACCTAGTACCTGGTGTGGTGAGACTTTTTCCGCCCAATGCCAATGCGGGCAATGGCATGCTTTACGGCTAAATCCTAAGCTGCTAGGCTACGGTCCGGATCTGACCACGCTGCTACTTACTGCCATGCCACACGTCAATGCCATTTCGTGGTCTCGTGATTCGCCTCACAACCTCGGCCGCGAGCCCCCTTCGAGTGTCATCATGATTCATGGTCATCGCACATGTACACACCTTCCTCGGCCAGCAGGGCAAGTGCGGGCAATAATTTTTTGCTTGAGCCTGTCGACGTTCATCGTCGCAAAAGCTTCTTTGTGTCAGTGAACTCAAGGAGAGCATCATTCTGATCATAGACGTGACTGTGTCGTCTAATGTCTGTGCTGAGCTGCAGGTCCGAGTCGAAACGAGTCACAGCTCGTCACAAACCTTCCTGTCCAAACCCCACAGGCACTTGGCACTACAAAGCTGCCGTATCTCGTGGAGACACTATTCCTTGGGTGGCAGTGATTGAATGAAAACCTCCCAGTGGCAGTGGCATCGTACAGCTACTTCAACTTCAACTACTAGAACGCTGTAGCGTTGCGCTTACACGCTAGCCAAGCAATCATTAAATATTTTGGAATCTTTGGACTACAGTATTGTAGGACTTGCTTGCAGTCATGGCTGATGCCAGTACCAAGGTCGGTGGAGATATTCCGGATTCTATGCGATCAATTGTATGTCATGGTCCAGGTAAAGACTAAAAAAACCCTTTAAAGTACAGTTTAGTGCTTCAATAACATTATGAACGGTACCATTCGGCTGTTCAATAATGCAACATTCTCTCCTCTTCTCCTCCATGCGCTCTCTGCTGACACGTTGCTACTGAGGCCGGGTAGCCGTGAACATGTCGGCTGAAAGCCATGGAGGAGAAGAGGAGGAGAGATTGTTGCAGCTTAGT